TTTTTGCACTAGGTGTGTTTTTTGTATACAACATATTGTTGGATTTTACTTATTCCGTTTTGCCTGTCTATTTCTCTTGATTGGTGAGTTGAGGTCATTGACATTGATGGTTATAACTGATATGTGCTGGTTTATTATTGTCATGTTAGTGGCCTTTTGTTGACTTTTTTTACTTTTTTACCTTCTCCTTTTAGTTTCTTGCCTTGCCTGTTTGATTTGCTCTGTTGGGCCTCATGGTGTTGTTGCCTTCATTGTCTTTTTCTAGGATCTTGTTTAGAATTGCTTGTAGTGCTGGTTTGTTACTCATTTAGTTTCTCAGGTGTTCTTTGTCTTGGAAGTATCTTATTTCCCCATCCATTTTGAAAGAGAGTTTTGCAGGATACATCAGTCTAGATTGGAGGTTGTTCTCTTTTAGTACTTGAAATATCTCACTCCAGGCTCTCCTTGCCCTAAGGGTTTGTGTTGAAAAGTCTGCTGTGATTCTGATGGGCTTTCCTTTGCATGTGATTTGTTTCTTTTCTCTTACTGCTTGTAGTATTTTGTTTTTCTGTTCGGTTTCTGGGATCTTAATTATTATATATCTAGGTGTAGATTTTTTTTTTTGATTGTAGCTAGTTGGTGTCCTATATGCCTCACTTATCTGAATGTCAAATTCTTCCCCTCTGTTTGGGAAGTTTTCTGTCATTAATTCTGCGAACAGCTTTTTTAAGTCATTTGTATTTTCTCCTGATACTTCATGGATTCCTATCAGTCTTATGTTATTGTTCTTTGCATCATCTAGGAGTTGTTGGATCGATTTCTCATGATCCCTTACTGTTTTTAAGAGACCTCTCTTTTCATGATCACTGACTGCAATCTTATCTTCTATATCTGAGAGTCTATCTTCGCATTCTTTTATTCTGTTGCATACACTCTCAATGGAGTGTTTAATCTCCTGGATATCTATTTGAATCTGTTTTATGGATTCCATTTCTTTCCTATGTTGGGCGTTTATTTTTTCCATTTCTTTCTTATGCTGGGCATTCATGGCTTCTATCGCGGTCCTGAGCTCATCTATTTTTTGTCAGTTTCTGCTCTAGAGTCTCGAATCACAACTTTGATTTTGCTTAATATCTCTGTGGTTATCTGGGAAATTATTTGTTTTGAATTTTTCTAGAGCCTGATTGATCTGTTTTGTTACTTCCTGTGCTTTGAGTTCAGGGTGTCCTGGTGGTTCACTATCGGCCTTTTCATCCTCATTTGTCCTACTGTTTACCATTGGTGAACTGGAAATCTGTCTTTGTGTCTTGCTTAAGTGTTTTCTCATTTTTATTTTTGTTGTCAGGCTGTCCTTGGTTTAATCTCTGGGTTGTCACCCAAATCTTCCTGATATAGTTGCACCCTAGCTTCTGGGTCTCTTAACGACCCACAGACATTCTCATCTTCATAACATCAGAGAAAACAGCTCATCAAATCAACCACAGTCCTTTATCCCAACTGATACAATCAGTAACACATTGTGATCAAGCACAACTTGGAAACTGACCACCTGTGGTAGTCACTAGTCTATCACCCTTAAACCATTTGAATTAAATTGAAATCAAAAAGCAGTCCAGAACATATCTGCAGTGAACAAACTTTTCAATATAGTATATTTACCATTTAATGGCTCGGAAAGAGCTAGGACGCAAGACCCCTGATCTCAGTTAGCTGATGGCTGAACCCCATGACCTTGGGCTGCAAGGCCCAGATTGAGTTCCCCAACCTTCTGAATGGTTGAACTCCACAACGTTCTATTACAGGTTTCCCACGCCCTTTCTTTAAAAATGTTCAAAGTTGGAAACTCAGAAAAATACCCTTTATGACAACCTCTGCCTCTGCAGAGTGTGTCCAAAGACTGGCACAATCAGGAGGTCTGAGAGTGCGCGGGGGTGGGAGGTAAGGGGAGTTATGGGAGTTCAGGGGTGCCCACCCAGCTACTTTCCTGGCACTGGAGCGATGGTGGCTCCAGGCGGGAAAGGGCATGGCTGTTCTTCCCCTATTTGTTTTTCTTAAAGCTGATATGTGGAATATATATTGTTTTCATAAAAACAGTAGTATTTAGGGTACTCCAAAAAATTTTGGGTATAACATGAATACATAAAGATGGATAAACTAATAAATTAGTTAAATAGTTAAAAAATATGTTGGATACTAAAATGTCAAAAAAAGGATAGGACTGTAGGGTAGGGATGAACAGGACAGTGTTGAGATTTTAGATAATGTTGCCTAGGGAAGGCCTTACGGAGGTGTCCTCTGAGTAAAGAGCTGAAGTATGTTAGAGGAACATCCATTTGATTGTCTAAAGAATGAGCATTGTGGGTAGAGTGCACGTGGTGGGAGACATGAGGAGGCTGGTTCATAATGAGAGGGTTAGAGTGTTACCTTTGTGTCTTCACTCTCTGTGCTTGTACCAGAGCATTTACTTCTATCTTTATGTTACTTTTTCACATGGTGAATAGGATTCCTTCCCTTAAAAACAAAATTTTAAAACTACTGAACTATAACATATCTTCTAAGATACTTGTGGTTCTCTTTGACAGTCTTGCCCATCTTTCTGCAGTCAGCCCAAGTTCCATAGCAGTGTTTTTGTTTTAATCCAGCATATATTTGAATGTCATATTCAACCTGATTTTATTTGGTTTATCTTTTTGGGGGGGCTACCAGGGATTGAACTCAGGACCTTGCACTTGCAAGGCAGGTGGCAGAACAACTAAGCTAAATCCCCAGGCGTTATTTGGTTTATCGTTTAATTCTCACTTGTATTTTTTTTTTTTTTTTTTCTGGCTGAGACCAGAGAATAATCTTAGGTAACACACCATCTACAACCTCTCTAGTCACTCATTATTTGCCTTGTGTTACTAAATATAAAAGCTTGTTTTCATTCATGTCTTGTTTGAAAAAGAATGTTTTCCTTCAAATACCATTATTGTCTCTTCTACCTCCCCCCTTCTCCTCCTTTTCTTCTAGTACATGTTTGCACTCCGTAATAATTACATTTATTGAGGTGAGTTGGCACATGCTCATAACATATCTTTTTTATTCCCTTCAGTCTATCTCTTGGTCCCCAAGGGTTGCTCTTCCCTTAGGTTTATATCTTGACTGCTTATTCCTTGCATACTTCTTAATCTCTAAATTCTCTGACCTAACTGGGCTTCACTTGCTGTCTATATGCTGTTTCTCATATCTTTATTTCTAGTTTGTACTCTTCTCTTGAGCTCTAAGCCATTGTAAATGGGCTTCTAACACGTACTTTTTAATGGTTGTGGGCAACATGGATTCATATATCTAAAGCAGCTGATATCTTACCTATAAAAGAAAAAAGAACATGCTCTTCCTCTCTTTATCCTAGTAAGTGGTATCTTTGTCCAGTTGTTCAAACTAGAATTTATGATAGTAACTTTCAGTCAAAAATGTGCTACCCAGGCTCTTAGCAAAGTTGAGTTTATGAATGCTTTTTGCATCAAGAGGAATCACATGTTCTGGGTAACTAAAGTGTATCCTAAAATGGTGCTAGACAGACTTAGAGACTTTGGACTTTTGTTGGATTATTGTAGGGAGGATTGAGGGAAATAGTGGGATTTGCTCTGGAGTGGAGGTTGTCAAGCAGTGGTAATTTGGTCATTGGCTATCTTAATAAATCTTCCCTGCCAAGTGATAAGAATAAACTGGAATTGATGAAGAAGCACCATCATTTGGGTTTGCAGCGTGTGTGTGTGTGTGTGTGTGTGTGTGTGTGTGTGTGTGTGTGTGTGTGTGTGTGTGTGTGTGTGTGTGTGTGTGTGTGTGTGTGTTGTATGAGTCCTGGCTTTTGCCTGTCAGAATTTATTCCCTGCTGACTGGTTTTCCCTCACTTCCATCATGGTTGCAGGACCTTATCTGATGTTGGTGAGTTGAGATTCTGTTTGATGGAATAACATGGCCTGCTAGCTGTAAGGGTTGCTTTTCTCTTTCTCACTTATTTGGGATAGAAAATTAGGTAGGATTTGGACAGCAGGAAGATGGAAGAATGTTTTAAGGTATGCAAAAGTGATCAAAATATATATTAAATGTTTAAATTTAAAAATTTGTTACAGTAAAAGACACATTGCCATTAATCTCTCTCAAAATACTCCCCCTTTCATTCAAGCACACTTACACCATCATTCTTGCCACTTTGTAAAGCAGTTTTTTAAGTTCCCTGTCTTGAGTGTTCTAATGCGAGATGATAAAAAAATTACGGTGAATGCTGTTGCTGAGTACTATGCAACAGAAAGGCAAACTGGTAAGAACATTTTAGTGTGTCCTCATTCACCGGATGTGGTACTGTGTAATTTTGGCTCTTCCCTAAAGCCAAAATGACTATGAAAAGTAAGCATTTTGAATCAATTCAAGATATCAAGGCAGCCATGACAGTGCAACTACAGACATCCATAAAAGACCTACAGATATGCTTCAGAAAGTGGCAAGAATGGTGGATAATGAAGTGAGGGGGAGTGTTTTGAGGGGGATTCGTAGCAATGCACATTTTAGTGTAATAATTTTTTAATGTAGACACTCACTATATTTTTTTATCATACCACATGTGAACAAAGAATTTCCATGCTACTGGCTGAGTGAAAGAGGCAGTAAAAAAACTTATTCTCTTGGAAATATATCAGTGTTTTCTAATTTTATATTGAAATCTAGTTCACTTATTTGGTACTGGGGGAAGAGAAGTTAGGAGTAGGGTTATATATTAATGGTATTTGGGGTCTTTTAAAGCTGAACATTTAAGTACTTACTATATGCTGGTCATTAAAAGATTTATTTTAATCCCTCAAATAAATTGAGTCAGAAAGACAGGGTGCATATCCCTGGCATTGGGAATAAAAACCAAATTGGAAATCCAAGTGCAGCTAGTGGTATAGGCTGTTAGGTGATATTTAAGAGTGTGAGTTTTAGCATAATAGCTTGGTTTGAGTCCTACCACCTCCTTCATTTGAGACTTGTTTTCTCTGTAGGAACTTTCCGCTGTACATTTTGCCATACAGAGGTAGAAGAGGATGAATCAGCAATGCCCAAAAAAGATGCACGCACACTTTTGGCAAGGTTTAATGAACAAATTGAACCCATTTATGCATTGCTTCGAGAGACAGAAGATGTGAACTTAGCCTATGAAATACTTGAGCCAGAACCCACAGAAATCTCAGCCCTGAAACAGAGGTAAGCCCTGTCCCCTTATTAAGAATCCTTTCAAACTTGTATTTGTTTTAACTTTGCAAAGTGAAAGTAGGTAATTTACGAGAAGACTAAAGACTTATATTACATAGGTTCGTAGTTCTACCATACTTGTCTTATTAACTTGTGCCTGTGATGAAATTTGCAGAATAGTGTGTTGCATTAGAAATCTGTAAGTAGTCAGATTTCACTTCAATTGCTCACTCTCTTTGGGCCCACAACAACTCAAAACAATTGTTCACTAATCCCCAATTAGTTGTGCCTCTTCAGTTTTCCTAGTCAATATTTGAAGGCTGAAATTCTTTCAGAAATATAGAATTGTCTTTGTTGTTGATTGTTGTTTTTTTTTAAAAACAAAACAAAACAAAACAAAACATTTAACCGCTCTCTTTAGTTTCAAATGTAACTTTCTTAAAAGTAAAGTATATGTGTTTTCCTCTGGGTTAAGACTTTTACCGGTGGCTCCCTATTTTTATCATGTTGGAATTGCAGAAGGAGCTTAGTTATGCCATGCCATGGCAACTTTTTATATTCTGTTTTTTAAAAACATAAATGATAACTATAGTCAGGCAGTGTTTTCCTACTTTTTTCTCTCTCTCGTTCTCTATGTCAAGATACATTGATAATTACCTACTCCCTTCTTAGAGGTCTACTCCAGTTGTTCTCTTTATAAATTTTATTTTCTCTGCTACTGCTATTACAGGATAGTGAGTCCTGAGCAAATTGTGTTTTTTGGGGGGTGGTTAAAAACGATTCAGTTGTACAGAATGTTTTGTATCTGTATCAGTTATTATAAATTTTCTCATCTAGCACCATGTAGAAAGTCTTTTCCTATGATAACCAAAAATCCAACTAGAAGTAGATTGAACACAGCATGACCAGAAGCCATCGGGTAGTACAGTTTAGAATTGGTTAAATGATCCCAGCTGGTTCCATCTTACACTCTGCTGTACTCAGCCTATTGGTTGTTCTCTTTGGACTATGAGGGAGCTAACCTAAGATATCCATTTCTTTTTAGGGTGTCACATACAGATGAAAATGTCTTAATGCAGAAAAAAGGTTCATCCCTTCCTTGTGTTTAATTTTAAGACTAAAGACAGCTTTTCTAGAGCACTCCCTTCATCCTATCTCCAAATGTCTCACTGACTAGAATTACCTTATATGCTTATTCCCTAACCTGCATCTGGCAAAGGAAGTGAGATCACGTGATTGGTGCTTAGACCAGTTAATTTCCTCCTAGGGCTAAGGACGGTGTTGGAGTTCTTTGCAGCAACTAGCCACCATTATTTGAGATGAGATCAGGCAAGTTCAGGGTGGTATGGCCATAGACTAGCCACCAGTATTTAGATAAAGCTAGCAAGCAAATAATGGAGGGGAGTAACAGTTGGTAAAGATTATCTATATTTCAGGTAGCCTTAACTTTTTTTACTATCATTTGGCTTCTTAACATAATTTATTTTTATATGTTTTTCTTCCTATTTCAGTTAATCTGTAGCTCTAACCTAGATTAGATTTTCTAAGCCTGGGGTATTTCATGTTGAAGTATGCTTCAACATTCTCTAATTCCTTTCTATACAGTGTAATGCTATCTGAGTTTTTCTTGTATTTCTTCTTCCTATAGTTTTTGTTCTTTTTATCAAGATGCTTCTAATTACTACAGCATTCAGTTCCCACCACCATGGCATCCTGCCTCTAATGTTCCTCACCTTCCACAGACCACTCCCTTTCCAGGATTTTGTTTAAATGATCCTTACTAAATTTTTGAGGGAAATCTTAGTGTACAGCAATACCAGAAGCCCCCAGACAGCTTGCTTTATCAAATCACCCTCTCATCAGGAATTATAGTGACTCCAGGAATGAAAAGAATCTGAAGTAGAGTAAGTAAATTGACCTGACGGAGGAAACCCTGTCACCTGGTCACAAGGCAGAAGAGAAACGGAGATAGGCAAGAAAGACAGGGTGAGGTTTCTGGAGCTGCCAGCCAGAACCAAGGTGGTGTTATTTCCACATGGTAAGGGGAAAAACCACTGGAGCTAAGTTAGAAGATGTTACACTAAGATGACACCACCAAGCACCTGATAAGCTGCACTGTCTGGATAGAACATCCTGCAAGAGGTATTGATTTGAGCTTTCATTACCGTAAGATCATAAATTTCTGTAGTAGCCCATCCTGTCCCAAGGATATAATAATCCATTCTGCACCAAATACAAAGAAAGAGTTTTCAGAAGGGTGGAATGAGAGATCAGGGATGATATTTGGTTTGTTTATTTTCTCTTGTTTTTAATACATGGTATCATTGTTAGTTTGGTTACTGATCTGTAATCAGTTAAATTTAAGGGTCCCTAGATGATGAACCAGAAGCTGCCTCTGCAATATGATCAGTAAGCCTAACTCAAGAGTTGATAGAGAGTTGCCTTTCAGTAAATCAACTCATTTATAATATTTATAGTTTGTCTTTCTTTCCATCATCTCTTAGCACTCATCTTAAAAATCTTTTAAAATTTAATTTCCAAAGACTGGGGTTATAGCCCAGTAGTGGAGTGCAAGGCCCTGAGTTCAGTCTTAAGCACCAAAGAAAAAGTTTTGAAATAATATTCCTTGCTCAGTTGGTAAGGATTATCTTTTGTTATAGCTTTGAACTTTCTGAAATTTAATGATGAATTGTCATTTTTGTCATCTTCAGTGGAAATGTGTATATTTTCTCTCCTCATAGAGAAATTGAAATATATAGATGGAGCAGATTTAGTTTTCTTTCATCCAGATTTTCTTTAGGTTACATTGGCTGGTGATTTAGATTTGTGACTGTAGTGGAGGTAGAAATAAAATTTATGGAGTCAACTCTATAGTTAAAAGTATCTCTTCAAAACAATGTTGATAGATAATGGGAGCAAGGAAACAAATAGGAGGCAAAAGAAGTGATTAAGACATGGAACATAATATGGATACAGGGAAAAAAAGGAAGTGATAAACAGTGGTACACCAAGTAGCTCTGAGTGCAGCTAGAATCATGGTAAAAATTGCAGCAGCAGTACTGGAGAGTGTGGATTAAGTGATTATATCAGGGTGTATTGGACAACTACGAAGAGCAAATTTGACTGCAAAAATAGCACAGGCCTGAAGATCTCCAGAGGCAGGGCAGGAGAGTTAGGATGCGCCCATAGTTATCTTCAGAGGATGATCGGAAACACAGTGTTGTAAGGAGCAATGTAATGGATAGAGAAATACATTGGAGAAGCCTAACTATGCACCAAGTAATCACTAATATATGGAATATGTCCAGAAAGAAGTGAAGGCTAAGCAGAAAAAAACAAGGGATTAAAATGAAAGAATAATGGTAAATGGCTTATGAGAAGACAAGTGAAGTGTTGATTAGATTAAGAATGAGACAGTCACTTCATAGGAGACTGTCATATTCATAGAAAAGATCTAAAGAAATGGAAGAGAAATCATGGAGAACTATGAAGCCAAGAGTTAGTAGTTGCTGAAAAAAAATAATAGCAAAATATATATATGTAGCAAAAGGTTAGAGTGAGCAGGAGTCCAAGAAGCATGAAGATCATTAATGGAATAAATCATAGCTGTCTAAGCAGAGAGGGAGGCAGAGTCATGCATAGAAGTTGACGCAGAAACCATCAGTAGCAGGCAAATTTGAGATCAGTTGAGAGTGAAAGAAACAAAGAGCCGCAGAAAGATGGAAAATGTGTCTTAACTCACAGAGATGGAGAAAGCTAAGTGAGTAGAGAAAGATGAATGCTGATCAGGCCTGAAACATGCAAATCAGGCAAAGATAGTCATGGGGAGGAAAGGTAAAGAGCAAAGAATAATAGGCTGAGAGACAGATCATAGTCCCTGTGGGGTAGGAACAGTGGCAGGGACAAATACAGAGCATCAGTGTATGTATGGAGATAAAAGATAAAACTTGATAGAGAAAGAGGCTGGTGTGCAGAGAGATATGTCACACTTGGTGAGTGGCAAGAAGAGAATGTTAATCCTCAACAGGCCTGGCTTTGTAGAATACTCTTCTAACCTCTTCCCTGATTGGTACAAAACCACCTCAGATTATTCTGGGCTGAGTTGAAGGAATATTTTTAAAAATACAGCATTTTTATTTTGTTCCACTTTTATTTTTTAAACAAAATTCTCATGAGATATTACTATGGCAGTTTTTGTTTAATTTTTGCCTCTTAGTGGATTATGTAATTCTCATCCCCTAAATTGGTTTATACAAACATCTCAATCTAGAAAACCTCAGTTGTAGCTGGGCATGGTGGTGCATTCCTATAATCTCAGCTCTCTGGAAGGCTGAGGCAAGAGGATCAATTGCAAGTACAGCCCCATAACCTAATGACTTAGTGAGACCCAGCCTGTCTGGGATTTAATCCCCAGTACTGCAAAAAACAAAACACTATATACACCAGAGAAATCAGTGTTTGAAAAATTCAATAGTAAATGCAACATCTTGTTGCATGTATATCCATGCAGCTCTCATTCTGAGTTATTGAAGAGATTTCTCAAAAATGTTAAAAGTGTGTATGCCTGTTGATAACATTTATTTATAATACTTCAGTAATTACCTCTGGCCATTCTTATTTTCCGACACCAAGATGTTAATTTTTCTTCTTACTGTACTCCTCTAATCTTTTTATACAGCAAGGACCGAGCAGCCACTACAGCTGGAGCTGCTGGCCAGCCAGGCAGTCACCACCGGGAAGCATGGACCACCAGAGGGCCCTCCTATGAAGACCTGTACACGCAGAATGTTGTCATTAACATGGATGACCAAGAAGATGTTCATCGTGCCTCCCTGGAGGGGAAATCTGCCAAAGAGAGACCCATTTGGCTGAGAGAGAGCACTGTCCAGGGGGCATATAGTTCTGAAGAGATGAAAGAAGGTAAGAGCAGAAGTCAGCAAAATGGATATGCTTTTAGGTCAGTAGAAAATAAACTTGATTTAGTGGAACACTATGCAATTCTTAGTTTTATTGACCATTCATTGTGTCTGTTTTATAAAAACAATGAATTGCATTATATTAGGAAGTAAGAAATTGAACTATGAACATTAAAACCAACCAGTATATTTGTATTGTTCTTTAGTGTAGTCAAAATAATACCTTTTTGAAACTCCATTTTAGAGTCACCATGTCTTTATCTTTATTACTTGGAAAGTGTTTTTTGTTCAAGGTTCTCAAGTTCACCTCTCCTTTAATATTCAATTGCCCTAATTTATATGCATTTTATCTTTCTGAGTTGGAAGTCATAACTTATGGACACTAGTCCAAAATTCTTAATGTTATTTCCTCATGAATACCGGGAATTTGTACTACTTGAAGGAAAAAAAATATATATATATTATGTATGTATATATACATACATATAAAAGATACCATGTGTGTAAAGGATTAAGCATTCTCACAGTCCAAGATTTTACTTTTTAAATTCTGGGTAACTGGATTCATGATTTTAGGTGATGATATAGAAAATGAAGACTAAGACTAGGCAAAGACTATTCAAAAATAGAAAAGCAGAATAACAGAATCTGTACTTCTGGTTAGATTTTATTGTTCCCAGGTTATGTATCATTACTAGCATATATGATTATTTAATGCTAAAGAATCATCAGACACTGAAGACCACTTGTTTTTTGGCCTTTTGTCTATAATTTTCTGTTTTATCTTAATTAATTAATTTAGTTAATATATTCATTTCTTTATTTTTTGAGACAGGATCTCACTATGTAGTCTGGCCTTGAAATTACTATTCAATCCAGGCTGGCTTGAACTCATGGCGACCCTCCTGTTTCAGCTTCCTGAAAGCTGGAATTACAGGCATGCACAAATATGCTCAGTGCTCTTTTCCTTTTTAAAATTTATATTTAATATACCGTGTGTACTAGAAATTATTAAAGCAGTATGGAATTTTAGGTAATGATGGTAAAAGTAGGTAATACTTCTAGTGGAATTCTCTAGTGGAATTAATCCCCACCAAGAAAAATAGTTTCCTTGATAACCGCTGTATTAGCTTGCTATATTTAGTTATTTTTATTTAATTTATTCTAGATTATATATTGGGCTGCTTAATAGACTTGTTTCTCCCAACTTGGCTTCTTGACTGTTCTTTAATCAACTGAACTTTCTTTTCTTTGGACACAATTAAATAACATTATTATTAACCGGTATTACACACAGCTAAGTTCGTAAGTTTATCATTTGAAATTTACAATTCCTAGGATAGTAGAATAGGACTTGGATGAGCCTTAAATAAGTTGTTTAGTCTACTCAAGTTTTCTGCATAAGATAGACTATTATGTTTTCATGTCTAAACTTACAGTGGGTACTTTGACTCACTGAATTGCAATTCGAGAAACAAATTCTGCAACCAGAATCATGGAAAGAATTAAGTTTGTGAACCAAGGTACAACCGTATCTTTGTTAAATTTCATGACATAGAACAGGTCTTACTCATCAGTGTATGAAGCGAGTCTTGTCCTACACTTCATTTTTCTCAAACTTGAAGTTATGTTGATTTTTCTAAATTTTCCAGACATCTCTGAGCTCGTTAATTTCTTTTTTTTATTCTACCTTCCTTATAAGTAGTCCTCTTCCCTAAAACCACCTCCACCCACACTTCTTTATTTTAATTGTCTTTTTCTAGACCATCTCCAGTCGTAATTTACTTTTCTTGAGACCTAGTGACCAGAACAGAACATGATGTTTATACACAGGTTAACCTTTAATGATTTGGGTTTTATTTCTAGTATGTTTTTGAGGTTTACCTGACATTTTGTTGCTGTGGTTCTAGAAGCATGTTAATACATTAACTGTAGAAATATGTGCAAAGGCCTTTTAGGTGTGTATCTCCTGGCTTGTATCTGATAGCTATCTAATAATACACACTTGAGATTAAAAGACAGACTTTCTTGCACTTGCCTGTGTAAAGGTAGATCTTTTACCTCTTTACCCACTAATACAACCTTCAGTTTTTCCTGTATTTCTTGTTTTGTTGTTGTTGTTGTTTTGAGACAGGGTCTCACTATGTAGTTGAGACTGAACTGGAACTCACTGTGTAGCCCAGATTGGTCTCAAACTCCCAGCAATCCTCGTGCCTCAGCCTGAGTGCTGGGATTACAGGCATGTGCCACTACGCCCAGCTTCCCTGTATTTCTTGCTGGAGCTTGGCTTTTAAGCCCCCAGAACTTCATAGCATCATTAGTGAATTTAATTCTTTTGCAGTGTACATCTCCTTTAAAATTTATAACTGCTAAGTTATAAAGCTGTTCCTAAAACTAATGTTTCTGCTTTACCATCCAGAGATATGCTCATTTTTCCTTGCTTTTGTTTTGTCTTTATAATAAAATAATTTTTCTTCAAACCTCTCGGGATCTTTATTAGAAATCTGTTAAATGTGACCTTATTTACTTTACAGAACTAATTTGCTTTTCCCCCTAATTTTATATTCAATTTAAACATAGCTTAAAGTATTGGTAAGATAAAACTATTTTGTAACATTGTTTTATTAGCAATTATTCCTTTGAGACATGCATTCCTTTCTTTTTTCTGTTGAAATACTGCGTTGGCAATAAGAATTCTTGGAAGGAGGTTCTGCTCTTGATGTTTTGAAGTAGTTAACATGTATGTCATAATGAGAATTAAAATTAAATGTATCATAAACCTCTCTTCTCTGACCTCATTTTCTCTCTTACTGCCCAAGTTCTCACTTGGAAGTTCAGTTTTTTTTCAGCTTTTTCCAGCATTCCACTTAATCCATTTTGATGTGTTAATGAGAAGATGCTTTTACTTCATGCTTTCTTTTGATGTATTGATAGGTGACACTTTCCCAGGTACCAGGCCCATTCTAAACACCTCACAATTGATCTCCACAGTACTTCAGCGAAGTATATACTATGATTTTTCCCCTCTTATACTTGAGAAAATTGAAGCAGAGATAATGTAACTTGGACAAAATTAGGGAGCTAACAGGTTTTAGTATTTGAATCAAATCAAGTTCCAAAAAACACTTTTAATGCTTTTATATATTTAAAATCGCAATGTTTGGTGTTATCAGAATACAGACTATGAATATTTTTACATTCTTTATCTGCAATATATTAGTCAAGGTGTGTGCACAAAACGAAAGGAACTATGTGGTGAAAGAAGAGTTACTTTTGCAGATAGATACCTTTTTAAAGAGTTCAGAGTATGATTAGTTTGCTTCAGAAAAATAAAACTGCCACTTATTCACTCATGCACTAAATACTTAGTCATTGCCTAGCAAGTGTCAGGCATTAGCTAGGTGGGTGAGAGAGATATCAGTGACTAAAAAGGATAAATGTCTGTTGTACATTCTACATCCTTGGAAAGGGGAGGGATGACAAAGATAATACAAGTACTTTATTCATTATATTAGAAAATAAATGCCTTTGCAGGAAAAATAGAGCACCGATAAGGTGACCTTTGAGTAAAGACATGAAAGATATAAAGGAGTTAGTTGTATGGCTATCTCAAGGAAAAATATTCCAGAAAGTAGGAACAGGTAATACTAATACCTTGAGGTAGGAGTGTTTCATATGTGTACAAGGAATATCATGGAGGCCTTTGTGGCTAGAGCAGAATGAGGAAGGGAGAGAGCACGTAAGATGAAGGTAGTCAGGAGTGTTCATTGTAATGCATTTGGCTTTCATTCTGAGCAAGATGAGAAGTCATATTTTGATTTTTCTGTTATGCTACATTATACCTGGTCCTTTCATAGGCATCATTTCATAATATCCTTAACCAGAACCCATAGATGGTAGAACTTTTATCATCCTGTTTTACAGAAAAGTTACTGAAGTTTAGAATTTGAGTAACTTGCTCAAGGTGGTACGTGTGGAGGAACCAGGATTTAAATTCACTGTTGCTTGTAAAATCCATGTTCTTAACTGTTACACTGCTTAACTGCAGTATGTGAGAGACATTTTAAGTACTTTATGGACAGTACCCAAGAAATGGAACCAGTGACATCTGTGTTGTTTTATTACGTCATTATTTACTTAAGTGTAACACATTTCAGTATAAAGGAATGCTTTTTATATTTAAGAATTTTGACTTTCTGGGTTTTAACCTATAGGTGGCATGGATATGGATGCATTTCAGGAGCATGAAGAAGGCCATGAAGGGCCTGATGACAATGAGGAGGTCATGCGAGCACTCCTCATCCATGAGAAGAAGACTCCCTCTGCCACAGCTGGCTCCATGGGGGCAGCTGCTCCTGTTACTGCTGCTACCAATCCCAGTGACTCAGAAAGTGAGACCAGTGAGTCAGATGATGACTCTCCACCCCGGCCAGCAGCTGCTGTGGCTACACATCATCGAGAAGAGGATGAAGAAGATGATGATGAGTTTGAGGAGGTTGCAGATGACCCCACTGTCATGGTGGCTGGCCGTCCATTCTCCTACAGTGAAGTGAGCCAGCGGCCAGAGCTGGTTGCCCAGATGACACCAGAAGAGAAGGAAGCATACATAGCAATGGGACAACGCATGTTTGAGGACCTCTTTGAATGAGCTTTCCCTGCCTTTTCCTCCTTTCTGTCATGCTCATTTAAAAAGAAATTCCCTACCTTTGAAGAAAAATATTTAAGTGGCTTTCTTGCTCTCTTGCTATAAAGCACCTGTTAATCTTCCACAAAGAATAATGGGAGAGAACGTTTGATTTTAATACCAGAGCTTCCCAGGAAGGTAGGTTGGCCATAAGCATTCCCTTCTCTACTATTATTGCAGTATTAATATGTTACTCTATTTCCTAATCTGATTTTTTCTTTCCTTTCTGAGATGACCTTTTCGCCCTTCTGAGATGAATGAGGGAAGTAAATTCTTTTTGTGTACCTACAGAAACCTACTACAGTTAGTAACAGTAATTCATAGATAACATCCTTTTTATTTATTCTTACCAAGGATTCCAAACAGTTCTTTATATTGTACCTAAACATTGTACCTAAACAAAGCAGCTTACTGATAGACAAATCACTGGTTAGGGGAAAGAATCCTAAAACTCCATATTTCCCCATATTAAGATTGGAATCAACATGTAAGGGAGGTGAGAATGTTTGTGGAAGAGGGATGGATATGCCTGAACCTTATGATTAGTGTGTAAACCAGAATTTGTGTCTTCAGAGTGGAACAGACTGGTAGATTCTTATGTTTTGCTTTAGGCTTTTTTGGTTTGGATTTTGGATGATACAAAACAAAGTATGCTTCATAAAGTATCTTTTATGAAGAAATTAAAGAAAACACGGATAAAAGACAAGTAGTCCAAGTAAAGGGTTGAAGAATGGAGAGCATTGGAAAGAGTGCCTTAGAACTGCCTGTGTCTATTGTGATTTGAAAGTCCTTTATGTAAACCTGAGATTGCCCCACCTCCACTATAGACTTTGTTAGTGCTATAAATTGGGGAGACCATCCCAGCAGAAACCATCATAGAATGATTGATCACCTTCCTCTTTAACATCTTTTGAAGGCTTTTTTCTTTTCTTTTCTTTTTTTGTCCTTAGTGATGGTGTTTTAGAATGCATCCTGCATATTGTAGAGCATTGTAACCTCAAGAAGTATATAGTCAGTTTGGATTTGGATGTGTAGCATGATATTCTTAAATGCAGAACTTTAAAAATAAAAGACAATTGTATTTCTTATATTTTTCTTGCATTGTAATTTTTAAGTATTTATCATTTTGTAGTACATTTGTGAAGTTAAGATAGCATCTTAGAGTATCTGAGCCTTGTATGAAGTGATGTTTCATTTCTTGGTTGTATTAAGACTAAATATTGACAATAAATCTATTTTATACTAACTGAAATTTGTTAATTTTTAACTCCATAACACACAGAGCATAATTAAAATGTATATTCTTCTCATTAAAACGTGTTAAAGACTTTTTCTCTTACTCATATTATTTCATATAATAGGTACAGTTAAATATGATCTGAACTTTCTCTGGCAATAAGTTATTTTAAGAATGACCTTTATGTATGTGAATTGAGTCTACTTTTAAACATCTTTTTCTAAACTTCATAATTTTAGAAAGAAGTTAATTTAAATAAAATAACCAGGGGTTAATTTTTAAACAAGGTTAATTTTTAAACTATATATTCATTGTTTACTTTTTATATAAGTATATGTATGAATGTGGAAATTTTGTTAGGGAAAAATATCCAAGTGAAAATAGAGGAAAAGGGTACTCACTGCAGCAATGTTTGGAATAGAAATTCCCTCGCTAAGTGTGTATTTGTCGGGAATTAAGTGTTTTCCTATATAACCACATAGTCATTAAAAAGAATGTATTGACAAGAAAAGAACCAAAATGTGTTAAATATAGAAGAATTCACTTTCTTCTTGGGGAGGAGATAAAGGAAAAAGTAACATAGAGTGCTCATGTTGTACCGGGCACTATTTTAACTCTGTGTGTGTGTGCACATGTGCACACGTGAGTTACTGGGAATTTGTACCCAGGACCTTTGTATTGAGCTACATTTCCAACCCTTTTCATTATTATTATTATTATTATTATTTTTTATTTATCTTTGACAGGCTCACTAAGTTGGGCTTGAACTCATGAAGTTCTTGCCTTCGCCTCCCAGTGTGCTGGGATTATAGGCATGGCACATCACACCCGGCTATTTTAACTGCTTTCTATATGTTGATTGATCTTTTATAACAAACCTGTGAGGTAGATGTATGTATATGAAAATACTGGGAATGAGAGTTACAGTAATATAAATATGTTGTAATGGAAAAGATACTTCCATTTTGGAAAAAGAATCAAATGGACATTTTAAAATTTTTATATAGAAATTAGCTGTAGAAATAGCAGTGATGGCAGGTGCTTGTCATCCCAACTGCTTGAGAGGCTGAGGCAGAGGAGCACAACTTCAAGGAGAGCCTGGGCAATTTAGGGGGACCTGTTTCAAAATATTAAGGACTGGGGATGTAGCTTAGTGGTAGAGCACCTCTGGGTTCAATTCTCAGTACACAACCACCAAAATAAAACAAAACATAAGCAAGTTCTTCTTAGGTTAATGGTAGAATTTTTAGGTGTTCACTTTCCCATTGTGTCTTAATCCTGGGTTCATCATATCCTTGGATAAGTATCTCTGAATTTATACTCAAAATTAATAGGAAATATAATTTAATATCTAAAGTTTTAACCATTACCTTCATATTTTAGTAACATGTCTAATAAAATTCAGTAGAATTTGATATTACTTTATTAGTCAGGTTTATCTCAGGTTGCATAATGGTTTGGTAAGGAAAGCCAGTCAGTGACAGAAGGACCAAAAATGGGAGCCCTGCCAATTACTCATTTCTGAAACTTTTGTAAACGGAGGCTTAGACCCAAAGGTGGTAGAAGGGTGTAGTTACAATGTCTCATGACCCCAGGACAACTGGACTTGTCACCAACAACCTAAAATAAAAATTGGCTAGGAACTTGGTTTCTCTGAATATGATTAACTGTTAGTGTATGTGTCTGTCAGGTATGAATGAGTATATGGCTATATATATATATATTTTTTTTTTTTTTAAATACATAAAATATGACAGCTGGTCAGGTATCCCACCTTTTCCTTTTTCCATGTCCTTTAAGATTTAAATGGAGCCAGGTGTGATGGCGCATGCCCGTAATCCCAGCATTTTGGGAGCCTGAAGCAGAAGGATCACAAGACCATCCTGGGGCAACTTAACAAGTTAGTAAGACCCTGTCTCAAAATAAAAAGGGCCGAATGCCCTTTTTATATATAACTCAGTGTGAAAGCCTGGGTTTAATCCCCATTACCACCCCCACAAAAAAACATTTAAATGAAACTCCTTTGTCCTAACATGGTAGAAAACCGCTTCTGTTATCATTTCTTTGAGAAACCACTTTTTTCTGGGGTGGGGCACAGTGAGCTTAGCCCCTCTGACTCTCTTCTACCCTTTTTTGCCTCCTTTGCACGAGTCTGTGTAGTAGATCTCCCTGAACTTTATGGTAGTAGGGAGAGGCAGTGAGAAAGGGGGCTTGGTCAGCACCTCGTCCTCAGTAAGACTGGATTGTACAGTGTGCACCTGCTTAGAGAATTTCTCACAGGTTTCATCCCAGTAGAATCCTGCAATAAAATGTTTTAGCTTCCTTTTTCCTTCTGATCACACCTTTTTCCCAAAGGCCTTAGAGAATTCTAAGTATATATTTTTTAAAGTACATTTCTTTGTTTCATTTCCTCCCTCTTTGTTTCATTCTAGTCCTTGCAAATAGTTGCCTTGAAAGTTCCTGTTGTATCCAAAATGAACTATCATGTTTCCCTAACCAATGAACCAATTCCCTACCTTCAGAAATCAGTGTGGGTGGTTAACTGTAGTTTTAAAAGGAACATTTTTCTCTCTGCACTAAAAAATACCACTTACGCATTGCGAAAGTAAGGCAGGGAATAAGCAACCCTGGTCCTATGGCCTTGGTGATCCAAAGTTTGTCTGATGGGAGATTGCTTTCATTGTATCTGCCCTTGAAGTTGAAGTCATTTTCTTATTTTGAACTCCCCCCATCCCTTTATGGTTTTACTTTTGCAAAACTTAGGCAGAACTAAATTTAAATGATTAAATGATTTAAGTGATTAAAAGAAAATACTCAATTTGGCATTGTCTGAAGTTGAGAAACTAGATTCTAATCTCAGCACTAATGTTTCCAGGCCAGTTTAATTGTCAACTATGAGAGAATTGTGCTAGGACCACCAAGAGTATCTGCAGCTCATAATTTTATAGAGGTAAGTGATACATGATGCATTTAAAAATAATACCAAATAATAACTGTCCCCTCACCACTACCAAAACCTGCTATGCTATAATAATTCAAACCAGGTGAAGGATATTTTAACTGAGGAACTAGGGTAGGTGGCAGGTTGGGATCGAGAACTTAGCAAACCTCAGCATAAATAACAGCTATTTAGGTTTCTCCCCATTTTGCCAGGGTACTTCACTTCTAGTCATCTAAATGATTAAGGGAGAAAAAAAATGAATATTTCATAATTCTCTTTTGGTATTGTTTGAAAGAATTGGACACGCATGGGGAATAAGATTAGGACAAGCATGTTCATTTTCTTCTCTTCTACCAGCTCTATGGCTAGATTCCCAGCCAGGATCACAACAGAGTTACATATGTACTTTCTTGTTCTCTTTATTCCCAAATTTAAAAAAGAAAAGAAAAGAAAAGAAAATGACGGTTTCTTGTTTTCTTATTCCTGAGTTTTTTTTTTTTAAAGGTGACTTGGAAATGACAAAGGACAAATATGAAAATGTTTAGAATTTAGAAATTGGTATAATTCCTGCTTAGCATATTGTTTTCATCAAAGATATTTTTCCTATGTTACCTTTAACAGCTGGGCTACTATTGTATTTAATATCTAAAATTCTTTTGGGGAAGTGAGGAAGTTTTTTAGAAATAAACTGGCACTTTGGTAAATTTACTGTCTATTCTGCTGGCTCTTTCTGCTATAAAAGAAGAAAAAAAAAACTCTGAAAAAGATAGGTACAGATACTTTTAAAACCTGTAAAGCTAAAATGGGTTGGGAAGGTAAAGAACCATGAAGTCTTTCTTTGGAGACTTAAAGGAATGAACCAATTCTGGCATGCCCTCAAGGGCAAGAACAAGTACCCTATCTTCTCTTCAGAAAGAGTTTCGTGTCCTGAGTACCAGAGACAGCTTTTCCTATCCCAGCTGCAAAGCAGGTAGACATATTGAATGACCCAGTTTCAAGGATCAACTCACGATTCCCATAAAGCAAAAGTACATAATTACCTACCTAATAATGTAAATAAGTCTGGGGAAGTAGTTTGGCAAAAAGGCTAGCACAAGGTCCTGAAATGCCTTGAATCATGTTAAGCCATACAAGGTAGTTACACCGTTGTGTTGTTGTTATATTAGTGTTAATTATTTTCAGATGCACCCAATAAAATAAATATTAAAAACAAAACTCACCATGTCACTGCTCTGAGGAAATCATTGCTGATAGCTTAATGTATATAATCTCAGAGATTTTCTAAGCCTTTTGACAACCTTCATACTCCCTGTATACCACATTGCTTTTTACATAAATGGGCACATAAAAGCATTGCCCTTTGCTTTTTTAATGGGACTAGAGTCTTGTATGATAATTTATGTAACATATTTCTTCTTGATGAGTAGTTACTGTCTTTTCACTATGACAATGCTGTAAGAAATTACCCTTGTATTTTCATTCTTCTATTTCTATAACAATTTTAGCAGAGAA